TTAGAGATTCCATAATGGAAATGGGAGCGGATCACTATGAATTTCATTTTTGGGCTCCCACGGACTCAGCGGAAGTTTGATGCAGTTTGGGTGATTGTGGATAGGCTGACCAAATCAGCTCATTTCATTCCTGTGATTACTACTTACTCTTCAGAGCAGCTGGCTCAGGTATATATTCGCGAGATTATCAGACTTCATGGTATACCGGTATCTATCATCTCTGACCGGGGTACACAGTTTACCTCACGGTTTTGGAGGGCAGTACAACGTGAGTTGGGTACTCGAGTAGAGTTGTGTACAGCATTTCACCCTCAGACGGACGGGCAGTCCGAATGCACTATTCAGATACTAGAGGATATGCTTCGTGCGTGTGTGATAGATTTTGGGGGTGTTTGGGATCAGTTCATACCACTTGCGGAGTTTGCTTACAACAACAGTTACCAGTTAAGCATTCAGATAGCTCCGTATGAGGCCTTATATGGTAGGCGGTGCCGGTCTCCAGTGGGTTGGTTCGAACCGGGCGAGGCTAGACTATTGGGTACAGACTTGGTTCAAGATGCCTTGAAAAAGGTTAAGTTGATTCAGGATCGACTTCGTACAACCCAATTTAGACAGAAGAGTTATGCGGGTCGGAAGATTCGTGATGTTGCATTCATTGTTGGTGAGCGGGTATTGCTTCGGGTTTCGCCTATGAAGGGTGAGATGAGGTTCAAGAAGAAGGGCAAGTTGAGCCCTAGGTATATTGGGCCTTCTGAGATTCTTGAGAGAGTTGGAGAGGTGGCTTACAAACTTGCACTACCACCTAGTCTCTCTGCGGTTCATCCGGTATTCCATGTTTCCATGCTTCGGAAATATCACGGCGATCCGTCTCATGTGTTAGACTTCAGTTCGGTTCAGTTGGACAAGGATATATCTTATGTTGATGACCCAAAATGTCATATTTAAATGTAATAATTAATTATGTATTCTAAGACCTCGAAAAGTACTATTTATCATTATTCGACTTGCGTGCGCAGTCCGTAAAATTTTCCGGAAAGGTTTTATGCGAAAAATGAATTAAAATGTGAATTAGAGCTTTAAAACTCAACTGCGTTGACCTTGGCTAACTCTCTTAGAAAACGGACTCGGATCAGTATTTTAAAAGTTTCAGTAGGTCCGTATCGTGATTTGGGACTTGGGCGTATGCCCGGAATCAAATTCCGAGGTCCCTAGCCCGAGATATGGAATTCTGAAGAAAAATTAAAAGTTTAAATTCAAATAGTGACCAGATGTTGAATTATGCGCAAACGACCCCGGAATAGAATTTTCATAATTCTAACAGCTCTGTATGGTGATTTTGAACTTAGGAGCGTGATCGGAATTTTATTTCGAAGTCCGTAGTGAAATTAGGCTTGAAATGGCTAAAATAGGAATTTAAGTTTGGAAGTTTGACCGGGGAGTTGACTTTTTGATATCGGGGTTGGAATCCAGTTCTGAAAATTTTAACAGCTCCGTTATGTCATTTATGACTTGTGTACAAAATTTGAGGTCAATCGGACTTGATTTAATAGGTTTCGACATCGAATATAGAAGTTGAAAATTCTTAAGATTTATTAGGCTTGAATCTATGTGTGATTCGTGTTTTTAGTATTGTTGGATGTGATTTGAAGACTCGGCTAAGTTTGTATGATGATTTAGGACTTATTGGTATTTTCGGAGGAGGTTCCGATTACCCCGAGTGCGATCCGGATCGAAATCGGATCAATTTTTGGACTTAGGCAAATTCTAAAATTTGCAGCTTCTCGTATCATCGCACCTACGGAGGGACTGACTGCAAGTGCGGACTCGCACAAGCGAGTTGTGGCTCGCAGAAGCGGT